CCACAAACTGTCGGCCGTAGTCAAAGGAACCCGCCTCATTAACCCGCCTCCTTCTTCAAGAGTATTATATTTTTGTCAATGACGTAATGATGACTCGCATAACTCCTAAACCCTTATGATGTAATAATTAATAATTGGCGTTTCCTAAATATTGTCCAGATCTGCCGTTACATTATGTACATAAATCAGTTGGTTGCTGTTTTTGTATTGGTGTTTTTTTGGTGTTTTTTAAGGGGGGGGGGGAGTGTATGGCTATTCTCTTTATCTATATTAGTTTTGGGAAAAGGGTAATGATTAAATTATTTATTGTTTCTTTGTTAGAAAGACGTCCACGAACTGATGTCATGGCTGATAGATGGCGCCATCTGTACGCCTAGGTCCTACTTCTTTTTTCTCCTCTTGTGTTTCTGTCTATCTGTCTTGCTTTTTATCTGCACTAAATAACCGACGTACTTCTCTGTACTTAACAAAACCATTACCACCACCACCACCACCACCAACAACAACAACAACAAGAAACCTCTCAAACCCCCCACTCCTCCCCCCTCCCCCCCATACAAAACAACAAAGAAACCCCACCTAAATTAACATCAGGAGCAAAGCTTCTGCTCCGATAAGAAAAACAGTATCTTGAAGAAAAGTGTCCATAAAATTCCAATCTACAGTTCTTTAATTATGTGAAAGTGCGCGTATGTGCGTCCTGTCTCTTCTCCCTACCCGTTCTCCCATTTCCCCCACCTTCATTTTGCTTCGACAAGTCTGCCTGTTTCTCAGTGTGATAGTGTCTTAGTCCATGTGTATCCAAAATATAAAACATATATACAGACGCCGATGTTGTAACACCCCATACTTGAGAATACCTTTGTCAGGAAGCCAGAGCGTGTAAGGAGATCATTGTCCAACAAAAGGCCAATCCAAGAGGGGGTACAAAAATGCATGTCTTTAGTTTTAAAGGGCATACAGTAATGAGAATCAGCTGGGCTTTGATTCGGGAACAAGCATATGCACTTGAGGGGGAAAAAGGAGGG